TCTAGGGTTTCTTATTAACCCTACTGCAAGTCTATATACACAGTACTGAGTGGATTGTGCAACTGAATTATTCACTTTAAGGACTGATTAAAACCCTAACTCTCCCAAGCATATCAGACCTCTTCTAAGCTGTTTTTTCAGAGTCCTAAGGGATTAGAGCTTACGGACAGCTACTGTTGTGTTGGCTAGTTGGTTTCAGATCAGAATTATCCCGGTTTTGTGCACATATACTGTGAAGACAGATCAGGCCCATAATGTTTTTTGATTGTGATTGGTTGTCTAAGTGCTGTTTTGGGACTTGACAGAAATGGAGTTTAAAAATCAAGCAGAAGGCAGCCTTAGGAACATCGGTTATGGTAATGTTTCTGAGATGGGTGGTCAGATTACAAATGTAAAGTTTGATGGATCAAACTATTTGGAATGGGCCTAGTCAGCCATGATGGCTATTGATGGACGAGGTAAATTAGGGTACCTCTTGGGAGACATGAAGGAACCTCCCAAGGGAGACCCGACATATACCAAGTGGATTCAAGAAAACTACTTGGTTATGACATGGCTGTGTAATTCTATGCAGCCTCTTATTAGCCGGAATTATTTGTGGGCAAAGACAGCTAAGGAGATATGGGATGTTATGAAAGAAACTTATTCCCAACCCCTTAATGTTGCCAGAGCATATGAATTGAAATGTGAAGTGAARAATCTTAAACAATGAGAGAGACCGGTTTCAGTATATTTCTCTACATTGCAGTCCCTGTGGCGTGAGATTGATCACTTAGAGACTCTTGAGTGGGAGAGTCCCAAAGATGCACATATATATTTGAGTTTCTGGCGGGCCTAAATTCAGAGTATGATATTGTACGACAACAGATTTTGACTAGAGACARTGTGACTCTCTCTCAGGCATACTCATTTGTACACAGTGAAGAGACCAGAAGGAAGGTTATGATGCAACCTCAGCCCCCTACACCAGCCTTTGTAGCGGTCACACCCAAATCAGGGGGTGATTCAGAGAAGGACAGGAGGAAGGAAGACAAGAAGGATGTGGTATGTGAACATTGTAAGAAGCCCAAACATACAATAGAGACATGCTGGAAACTGCACCCTCACTTGGTTCCTGCGAAGTTGAGAAGCAAGAAGGGCACTGCTCATGTAGCYGTGAACACTGATTYAGCATCCTYATCTGGCACAAAAGGAACATCTTTAGAGACCTTAGCAGCAGTCCAGGCCAGCTCCAATCTCACCTCCAGCTCCAGGTCCAGATACTACAGTCCCAACCATTTCACCTCCTACAGATGATCTTGACCTTCCGATTGCAGTCCGTAAAGGGAAACGACATTGTACCACATCTACAGCCCACTGCATTTCCCATTTTTTATCCTATGATCGCATATCTCCTACCTACAGGTCCTACCTTAGCTCCATTTCCAATGTCCCTATTCCAAGAACAGTGCAAGAAGCCCTATCCGTCCCGGAATGGAAAGATGCAATGCAAGCTGAGATGGATGCCCTGTTGAAAAACAACACCTGGGAGGTAGTTGATCTGCCCAAANAAAGGAAAGAAACCAGTTGGATGCAGATGGGTATTTACGGTGAAGCATAATGCAGATGGATTTATTGAGAGGTATAAAACTTGGTTAGTTGCAAGAGGGTTTACACAGACTTATGGCATAGATTACTTGGAGCCCTTTGCACTGGTAGCCAAGATGACCACTATTCGAGTCCTATTATCCCTTGCAGCAAGTCACATTTGGCCTTTATACCAAATGGACGTGAAAAATGCCTTTCTGAATGGAGATTTGCAGGAAGAAGTTTACATGCGTTTGCCTTCTGGATTGTATGATGCAGAGATGGGTAAGAAGGTCTGCCGGCTCAACAAGGCTTTGTATGGTTTGAAACAGTCACCTAGGGCTTGGTTCGATAGATTCAGACTAGCCCTTGTGAAGTTTGGTTATGTACAAGCCTAGTCAGATCATACCCTATTCATCAAGAGGGTGGAGTCCTCCTTGACACTACTGGCAGTATATGTTGATGATACTGTGGTCACAGGGAATGATGGCCATGAGATTGAGTCCCTTAAACAGCTCCTTCATCAAGAATTTGAGGTGAAAGGCCTTGGTGTACTCCGGTATTTTTTGGGTATTGAGGTTGCTAGATCCAAACAGGGGATCTTCATCTCTCAGAGGAAATATGTCATAGACTTGTTGGCAGAAACTGGAAAGTTAGGTGTCAAGCCTGCAGATACACCAATTGAACAGAACCACAAGATTAGTGCCGAGAGTGGGGAGCTTCTTGAAGACAAAGTTATGTTCCAGCAATTGGTAGGAAAACTCCTATATCTCTGTCTCACTCGGCCAGATATTACTTATGTTATTAGTGTTGTCAGCCAGTACATGCATTCTCCTAGAACCACACATCTTCTTGCAACAGAAAGAATCTTAGCCTACTTGAAGAGATGCCCAGGTAGGGGTATACTATTCAAGAACAACAACCACATGAAGGTGGAGGTCTATACAGATGCTCATTGGGCTGGGAGTGTTGATGATAGAAGGTCTACCTCAGGATATTGTGTCATTGTGGGAGGAAACCTTGTTTCCTGGAGAAGTAAGAAACAAAGTGTTGTCTCCCGGTCAAGTGCTGAAGCAGAACACAGGTCCATGGCCAACGGAGTGGCTGAAATCCTATTGGCTAAGATCTCTACTTGAGGAGTTGGGCATTGAGTATGAGAAGCCCTTGATGCTGTATTGTGATAATCAAGCAGCCATTAATATAGCACATAATCCAGTGCAGCATGACAGAACCAAACACATTGAAGTTGACCGGCATTTTGTACGAGAGAGGGTCTCATCTCAAGAAGTATGTCTCCCTTACATCACATCCAGTATGCAACTAGCAGACATCCTCACTAAAGCCGTATCAAGAAAGAAGCTAGAAGCAGATCTATCCAAGTTGGGAATGATAAACATCTACTCCCAACTTGAGGGGGAGTGTAGAGAACATTGGTGTGGGCCTCACAGCTGTGGTCCCACTCTGTCCGTAGGGTAGAATGTATCTAGTTACAGCTGTGGTCGATTTATGATTCTGTTATTCTAGTTGTTATTTACTTTTCAGTTTTATATTGTTATGTGTTATGATGTAAACACCAAGGGCAGATGTGTCCTTTCATGTAACTAGCATAACATATAAATATTAAATTAAAGTGGTGGCGGCAGAATATTGAGATTCTGTTCTTCTCCTCAAAACTGTGTTCTACTGCTCTCTCACCACTCTTTCTCCACTTTCTCTTCTCTTCGAACCTGAGGTTCCTGAGTGAT